TATTTTACTTCAATTAGATTATTATTTTTTGTTGTTTACCAACTGTTTTCCTCTTTTGGGTCTAGTGGTATATCTTCAGTTGTCCTGCTATATACCTTTCCTAACACAAACCAAAAAATTAAAAGCACTTCCTAAATATTTGTTAAGCTCAGTTAGCCTTAAAAGTGTTACATGTATTTTAGTAAAACAAATAAACAAAAATTAGGCAGAACAAAACCTTCTGAATTGCTCTTCTTTCCAGAAAGCTCAGAGAGACCTAGATCAATGTAATCACATGGATTAGACACAAACTCGGATTATAGTTCCACAGAAGAGCTCACTTCATAGCCTTTGATTCCCTTGGTTCTATAAATATATTTGCTCAAAGTGAGAAGTACTCTTCTTTAATGTGGGTAACTAGCTGCGTCAGAGGATAATTTTTTCAAATTCAATTGTGCCAGGATTTCAGGAAATATACTTTGGTATCAAATAGCTGGTCTCAGAGCATATGGTTAGTACACTTTGATTTTTAGATCTAGAAACAATTTCTGGCTAAAATAAATTAGAGAGAAGGGAACATGAAATTACTATTAGTTAATACTTATTTATAAGTAGGAAATTAGGCCAGAATTTTTTAAAATTGTATTCTCAAGCTTGTAATGTATATCACTTATATTTTATTAATAACTAAGAGGAGAGTCATAGAATGAAGCAATTTGTCCAATTTAAGTAATTCGTCCATTACTGGCATGACTGGAATTTATCCAGATTTCTTAGGACATGAAATCCCATATCTTTACCCAGCATGCTATTGTCTCTCCCCCATGTGTGTTTGTTTCATTTTCAGAATCCTCTTCCTGTACAGTATGCACTCAAGCATCTACTTTACTCTCTTTGCATCTTTGATGTTTGGTTCTATTATGATCCTACACACAAATTGGTATGTTTTCAGCAGCTTACTCTTCCTTTTGAAGTCCAGACTCTATATAAAGAAGAAACCTAGTAAAATTCTGTGCACGCATGTGAATGCCCCAGTGTGTCACCCATATGCCAACCCAGTCCACAGCTGGCTTGAAAAACTGTCTTCTTCCACGAGATACCTGAAGAGGCCCACCTATAGATTTTTTCTCAGTGTGCACTGATTGGCTGGAATTGCTTAGTGATCATGAAAGGCAATTCAGTAATCCTAGATGTAAAGTGAGACATTTTCCTGATGAATGATTTCTAGTTTTCTTAGGCCAAAAAAAAAAAAGGAAGAAAGTAGGTATCCAGAGAAGATGGGAAAGTAAATCAAAATGTGCTGTATCACACTGTTAACAGCCAGGCCTATGCTCTGCCTTCTTGCAGGTCTGAAACAAGAACAAACTAGTTACAAGGAAAGAAAGAACGCCATCTATCATCATTTATAGATGACTCTTACAGAACATCAAACTTTCCAAAGTACCAAGAACTCTATTCTACAGGGGGGCGGGGGGCGCAAAACAAAAGTAGAACATAACCTACAACCTGTACTCTATAACGTTAACAGCCATTGCTCTCCTGACAGATGAGAGATGGGATAAAGGGCTGTGGAGGAACAAGAGACATACTCAGAGAATAATTACTTGATCCACTGACTTACTTAGAGTCAGGAAACACTTCAGTGAAGGCAGAAATCCAAAGTTGCAGTAGAAACATAAAGATGGTGGCTTTGTGGCCCCCAAGGTGAAAAATAAAAATGCATACTCTAGGGAATATACTGAGAATATTTCCAGAAGCTTTGATTCTGAGGCCTGCTGGATACTCTAAAGACAAGAGTGAGCAGAGCTCAGGCTATAACAAGAGCACAATCAATCTATTCATCTACTGGATATTGTAGATGGTCTTTAGTTTGACATCACGTCATTTGTCTCTGTCACTGGTGAACTTTGGAATCAAACGTTCATTCAATTTTACAGCTAGGTGATGTTATCCAGATTTATCTCATCTAGCCCTTCATTTCACTGATAAAGCTTCTCAGATAGAGACAGATACAAAGAATTCAACTGTTTAACTTTGATGAGAGCAAGAAGTACAAGGGCAGAGAACATGTTCTGGGTAGTTCAGGATAGTGATCAATTTGCATTGCTGGCCTGTCCATATGAGCCTATGTCTTTGTAGGGCATCTGTGTATTTGTCAGAGCAGGCATGCTCAGTGGGATCTGGGAAAACAGCATCACCTGAGGGCTCAGAAACTGATGAACAGAAAAATAAAACGTTCAGGAAAAATTGCTTGGCTTTTGCATCTATGCTGAAGCTGGTGAAGGAAAAGAGAACAAAAATTGTGTACCTTGTTTTTCCCACCTGAGCTACTGACAGAGGCAACAACAGGAAGAAATGCAGAGAGTGAGGAGGGAAAGAAGGTTCATAAGACAAAGGGGATTCGAATGTAGCAAGTCATGCAGAATTTTCAAGAATATTGCAACTTTAGAATGCTTTGAAGAGCTAAAGCTCAGTGATAAAGTGCTTACCTAGTATTCACCAGGCCCTGGGTTCCACTTCTAATGTGTGTGTGTGTGTGTGTGTGTGTGTGTGTGTGTGAGATATATTATACATATATATCATGTATCTCATATATTATTTATATAATCAGTTATGACATGTGATTTTATATATATATATATATATATATATATATATATGATGTCTACACAGCTAAACTGGGGGAAGTTGAAAGTGAAGACTTCCAGAGAAGCTGGAAGAAGGAAAGACAGGGAAGGAGAACAAGTTGTCCAAGGAAATATGATGGCTCCAAAAGCAGTCTGTAATGCCAACTTCCCAGGATCCCAGGAAAGACAGGATCTGCACATACTTCCTCCTTCCTTCCTTCCTTCCTTCCTTCCTTCCTCCCTCCTAGAGTCTACCATCCCCACCACACAGTAGGGAAGAGTTTCTCAGAGTCTTTCCCTAGGGTCAGATGCCAGTGGAATTAATGAAACAAGAGATAAAGAGAGGACATTAGGGGTCCTCTTAGTGTAAGGAAAACAACATCCACAATAAAGTCTAGAAAATTTGCCTTTTAAGAAAGCAGGTAAGTCCAGGTGTGATAGTACAAGTCTGTAATCCCAGTCTTTGGGAATCTGGGGCAGGAGGATTGCAAGGTCAAGGCCAGGTTGGGCTAATTACAGCATGTCTCAAACACACACACACACACACATACACACACACTCACGTGCGTGTGTGAGAGTGAGAGAGCAAGAACAGGGAGAAAGAGAATAAGAAAATAGTGAACCTTTGTATGAAGCATAGCTCTTTGTTTACACTAAAAATAGAATAATGCAAACTAAATTGAAGCATATTGCTGTCCTTCCTTCTTTTCCTTCATGCAGCACTGAACTTTGCAAACATCCGGATCCTAAAAGGACATTAAATATTGGCTTGATGGAGTCTTAAAATCCTGGAACAACCCAGAAATGTTTACCAAGGGTGGCTGAGATTAAATTTAAACCCATTTTAAGTTCAGTGTTCCTCACTGAAAGGAAAAAGGATGTGAACTTATAAACACTTCCTAAGCTAAATAATAAAATATCACCTGGTCCTAAGTTTTAAGCAGTGGTTCGGGGATGTTTTCTCATATCCATGGTTCTTAAAAAAAAAAATCACAAATGCCATAGAGATAAATGCAGGATACTAGGTAAGGAAAGACCTTTTTCATTTGGCATTATCTTCTTTTCCTATGTACAATAAAAAAAAAGGTGTGTGTGTTAAACAGACCTGCTCAAATAATGAGCTTGCTCAGCTCTTAAACTTTATGACTAGGAGTGAGTACCTTTCATCCACTCAGCCGATAACTGTCTCTGGTGTTGTTTTGTTTTTTAAGTGAATAGCACCTCCTCCAATTTAAGAAAACCCTGACAGCTAAGCACTGGTGACTCACACCTGTAATCCTAGGTTCTCAGGAGGCTGAGATCTGAGGACTGTGGTTTAAAGCCAGCCCTAGCAGGGAAGTCTGAAGCTCTTATCTCCAATTAACTACCAGGAAACCAGAAATGGTGCTGTGGCTCAAGGTTTTTCGAGCACTAACCTTGAGAAAAAAAGAGAAAGAAAAAAAAAAAGCTCAGGGACAGAGCTCAGACCCTGAGTTCAAGTCCCACAACTGACAAAAATAATAAAAGAAAGCCATGATAACTGTGTCACTAAACCATTGGACTTGTACTTTCTGCTATTGCCTGAGTGTCCTGTGTTCCCATCCCCACATTCATCTCCTGAAAAGTTGAGCACCTAGAACTTTGGTTTCTATTTGCCTTTCCCAATGCAGGTTCTTCGTGTGTGTGTGTGTGTGTGTGTGTGTGTGTGTGTGTGTGTGTACATCTTTGTGTGTACTTGTGTGTGCTTACATGCTTGTGTATATAGGAATGTGTATGTGTGGTTAATATTTACTGTGGACTGAATTACAGCTTTTATACCTATTTCATGTTTGTTTCCAAATAGATTATTAGCTACTTGACATGCAGCCTCACATATTTCTCTTCAAAATCCAAACATATAGAAAAATGCTGACCAGAGAATAGGAAATCCATGGATTGTTATTTACAAAATGAAAGGGTGCATTTTGTTTTTCTTGACAGCACTGGGGCTTGAACTCAAGGCCTTGAGTTTGTTCACTGACACTCTACCACCCAAGCCATGCCTCCAGCCTGACATTTGTCTGGTTTAGGGGTAGGGAGTGAGTTTTCTTGGACTTTCCTGCCAGGACTGTCCTCAAACTGTGATCCTCTGGACCTTAGCTTCTTGAATAGCTAGACTGACAGGTATGATCCACTGATACCAGCTTAAACAAATTTTTGTCTCTGACTCAAACTTAACTTCTTGGAGTTTCAATGGATTCAACTGATAAATTTACAAGCTTTCCTTGTCGACTGATCCATCCATTCTTATTGGGCTTGGGAGGTGGTCTCTTTAATACTCTGTACATGGAACTCAAATATTTTATTTTTCTGTATATTTTGGATTCTCACCATTCCCGTGTACTATGTCAGTCTTTTCTTTCTCATTTCCTCTAGGACAGAACCTTATTTCATCCTGTAGGCAACAGCTGCATGGATTGTAACCCTGCAGAGAAGAAGATATTCATGGCCACCTGTGACCCCCTTTCAGAGACTCAGCAGTGGATTTTTGAACACGTCAACATGACTGTTATAGAAAAATTTAGCCACCACACCAGCTCCTAGAAAGAAGGAAGGAAGAAAGGAAGGGGAATGATTACCTACAGATGATGAACTCTTATTTTAGCCAGCATCTGGGTCGAAGGAGTCAGGAATAACATTTCCAAGATCCAGGAAGCTTGGTTTAAAGATTTGTAAATGCCATGTCAAAGGAGTTCATCCTGAAGAACTTCCTGCGTCTGAAGAGCTTGTCTGAGAACCTCATCAGCTGCTTCTGAGAACTCCCGTAGCAGTTTCCCTTGCTGGCCAAGGGTGAAGATTATTTAGGGACTTTTCAAAACAACTACTGAGTTAATCAATCCTAGCATTTCTCAGGTCAAATCCTGCAGTAGTGAGTAGCTATGAATGGATCCTATTAACTGGGTGGGAGGGGGGCGGAAATAGGATGCATGATTGCTCCGACAACCTGAGGATCCCCACAGGTTTAGAACTAGCCACACTTCAAGGGGTGAGCTCTTGGTGCCATTCTCTGACTAAGAATGGGTTAAGCCGGTTTAACCCTTAAAAGTGCTGCAGTTGATTTTAGAGTGCTCATACCATTCTGTTTTATTTTTTTTTTTTTGTAAAGGGTGCAATAATCTTAAGACTTCACTCCGTAATGAAATGGATTTCCAGTGTGCCCATTCTCTCATTGATATCCCCATTTTCCTTTTAAAGCAGAAGTTGCTGGTTCATGAAAGTCCATCAGCTCAAGTTCTAATTCAGGGTCCTCATAGGAATCCCACTAACAGTGACAAATGAAAACTATGCTACCCAGTTACTCCAAAGAAAGATTGCACAAAAACAGCGAAATACCATTTAAAAAAAGATGCAGAGAGAGATTTCCCTGGAAAATCTATTTTTAATTTTCTATTCTTTTTAGAACTTTACAAGTCAGATGTTGGTTGTCTAATTACAATTTTTATTAAGGAGGGTAATGGAGTGAGATGGGTGTAATTTGCTTAGGAGATTGTTTAACTTAAATAAATCTACACTCCAAGTAACAATGTGACAATGGCTGATTCACTTCCATTTATTTGGTGCTGGGAGGTTTTATTTTTTTTTCCCGTTGGGTGGGGAAGGGTATCAATGATTTCTCTGGAAATTATTTTTGTTTTCTTTTTTAAATAGTTCATATTGATAATGTTACTATATTTGGAAGTCCATAAGAGAAATTATCAATAAAATGCTTCTGACACCATTTTCTGTTAATGGGTAAGGAAAGGAATCATTAAAAAACAAAATGGAGGCACTAAAGGCATGGTTCAAGTGGTAGAGCACCAACTGTGAGTTGCAAAAGCCCTATAAGAGAGCTGAGTTTTAGCTTCAGTACTAGCCCCAAATTTTTAAATAAAAAAATAATAATCCTGAGAAGGAAAAAAAATGTAATAATGATGTGTTGGAGGAAGATGGATCTCTACAGCAGAAAATCATGTTTATTACACATTTCTCCAAGTTTTTCTGGTACAAGAACACTTTTATGTTGCTTTTATTTTTTCTTTTAAATTATATATCATCTTGGATATAGACCACTGAATTGTAAGATTGGCAAGATTCAGTCTCTATTGTTCTTCTTTTTTTAAAATAAATGACAAAAAGCCCTAAGCTCCTGGGAGAGTTGATGAGTCTTCTAACCTTATCTCCTGTTCTGTTGTTTCACTGTTTGCCCACAGTAGTTCTGATTATTCTGCCAATTTCATTTGAAAATTTTAGTCACTAAGAACACCAACTTCCCTCAAAATGCCCATAAACGTAGTCTCTCTTCATCTTCAGAAACTTGATGATATGAAACTTCTTCTTGCAAGCATTCATAATCTTGTCCTGTCCTTGAAACCTAATCAAATTGTCCAGTTAAAATGCTCAGCTAATAGTTGGGGAAGAGTTATTTCATTATCTTTACTGATTTTTCAAGCATTCTTTTGAAGAGCTATTCTTTTTAAACTGTCAGAGATATCTTGTATAGGTCAAGAGATCTTGAGACTTTCAAGGTGCATAGTGGATAAAAATCAATAGGGTGAAATTAACCTGTGTGTTGAACATTTCTAAAGGGTGTGTGAAGATTTATTTCAAGTGTTCAGGGCACACTCTGACTGTAGAATTAGATGAGCCCATCAAAATTCACATCAGGTCATTAAACAGTTGACTGCTATTTACAGTTGTACCAAAGAGAAAACCCTATGTCTATACCCTTGAAGGCTGAGAGTCGCAACCAACTTTTAGGATGCTATGATTGTGGCAAGCTAGCCAGGCACGGTGTTTTAGGGGTAAAGTTTGAATATTGCATCATTTTAATGTGAAACACACACTAATAAGTCACTATTAAGCCAGGCATTGGGTGGCTCAGGCCAGGAATCCTAGCTACTCAAAAGGCTGAGATCTGAGGATGATGGTTCAAAGCCAACCGAAGCAGGAAAGTCTGTGAGACTCGTAGCTCCGGTTAACCATCAGAAAACCAGAAGCAGTGCTGTGGCTCAAAGTGGGAGAGCATTAGCCTTGGGCAAAAAAGAGCTCAGGGACAGCACCCAGACCCTAAGTTCATCATCAACAAAAAATAAATAAATAATAAACCAATATTGGTCTCTCAGGCCAAAAAAAAAAATGTGAAAGAAATTAAATGATGTTTCAAAAGTGAGAGGAAACTTGAGCTTTAAACTTTAAATGTTATGTTCTGAAGTAATTTAAACTTTATGTAATCATTAAGTGAGTTGTACATGGAACACATACAAATAAAATGAAACCTAGAGCATCTGCATAGAATCTGTGTACAAACACACTGAAAGCACTCCTACCATTCTGAAAGGTGGGAAGCGCAATATACCTCCATATTTACTTGGCAAAAAGAAAAAGAAAACTAACCGAGCTGTCCTCAGAAGGACTCCTGGTCGCAACGATAAGTACTTGTGGAAGTTGGATGGCAGAGCACTTACTAATGGGAGAGAAAATACCAGCAAGTCAATCTGGATTCCGAAAGTTCTTCTTCTCCATGAAAACGAACGGCTCCGCCAGACGTTAGAAAGTAATGTTTAATGTGCCTTTCATCCGTTCACGGAGCGAAGACGACAAGAAGGTCAGGTTGAGCTTCTAACGTGGTCGGGTGGATGGCCGCCGGCCCGGCCCCGCTCCTCGGGCCGCGAC